TTCGAGCATTTTCCGCTTCCTAACAGTAACGGTGACATTATTCTTATATTTCTAGCGGAATACATGAACTGTACCAAGCAGTACGCGTCTCGAGAGTTCAAGTGGTGTTGTCGTAATAGGGGGAAAATCAAAACGCCGCCCGAACACACTAAAAATTCATCAAACAACAGGCGTTAATAACATTATCAAGATTAACGAGATATCATAGAAGTTATTATTTTATAAGGTAAATTACGAAGTATATTCATTAGCATCCATACAATTGGAGTTTCACAACCCGTTTTTCGCGAAGTGGCGTAAAACTCGGTGAAAAACACAATATTCGCGGTGATACAAAATATATTTTCCACTAGTGTTTTTCATATCACTAGGGTGGTGAAGCTCCACTGATCATACGAATTCACAGAGCGACAGTATATGTTTTATAAAAACCTAAAATTCCTACTTCAAAGATTTTGAAAAAAATCACTTCAAGTGCAGCACTCACCGGACAACATCACATGAATTTTTCGGTTTATACCACTTTTTCATCGCATCCTGCGAAAACTCCGCTCCGCTTTTATAATTTATACACAGACCGATAATCTGATAAATATATGTTCACCACACATCTCAGCTGAGCTCAGAAATTTTTCCCCCAGAGAAAAGACAACAAAAATTTTCATATCGTCACCAACACATGCAGTTGACCATGTGCATATTTTCCTACACTAAAAATATGACGATACGATATATGTGGAGAGATCTCAGGAGATTCTTATTGGTTTCTCTACACTTGAATTCGTGATAAATGAGGAAACGTCTGAACTCAGCTGAGGAAAGCGAACATATATTCCTCCTGCATTAAACTGACCATCTCGAAATTTACCTCCGATGATTTTTCCCCTAGTTTTATCGGGATGCCTCCAACAGTGAGAGCCTAACAAGAGAAGTATTGTGACAGTTTGAGTCGTGCGTTGTTGCTAAGGCACTTCATTCCTTTGGTTACTCATTTGAAAGTGGCGTAAAACTCAGCTGTAGAAATATGATTTTTCTACAGCTTCTTTTTAGTGTACAAAAACCAATGAAAATTCCCTCAAATTTCTGCGCAATTTCCTAATTATAGTGTAGTTGGCCATGATCATATTTTCTCACTCTAGTCGATGGAGTTTCACAACCCGTTTTACGTGAAGTGGCGTAAAACTCGGTGAAAAACGTGATATTCGCGGCGATATGCAGTAGTCGTAAAATATGTTTTTCACACCACGGGTGAAACTCCAATATTATAACAACATACTACACCAACCACACTTACTCTACACAAGAACGAATAAGAACTCACCTCCCGAGATCGCCCTTTCCCATCGGTTGCTGTCAAGTCGTTTTGTGTCATATCAACGAGTCGTTTTACTGCATCGTTAACTGATGGCCACCACCGGGACTCTTTTTCAATGACCTGAGCTCGGCAATGGTCTTAGTTGAAATTTTTGAAACTATTTTCTGTACAGATTGAACATTTATTGGAGTTTCACAACTCGTTGCACGTGAAGTGGCGTAGTACTCTGTGAAAAACGCGATATTCGCGATGAAATATTTTCTCACTGGTGTTTTTTTAATATCACTAGGGTGAAACTCCGTAATTCAAGTTTACCAATACCATCCATCTCTGAAATACTTCTGTTTCGATAGAGATACTACCATATAAAACAATGGAATATCTTCTGTGATGTGAAAAATACTAGTGAAAAAATACTTCACGACTACTGCATATCATCGCGAATATCGCGTTTTTTACCGAGTTTTACGCCACTTCACGTAATACGGGTTGTGAAGCTCCAATAATAAAGACGAATTTTCTCTCTTTGCATGTAACTACAGCAACTTACATCATTGAGTATATTATTCTCTTCTATGGGGGTAGCACTTTTCGGAACAAATAACGACATTTAAAACAACAACAAAGAATGGGAACTTAACGAAAACAGAAACTTATCATATAGCATTGCCGAAGTCTCGAATCGTGAAACTCCATTGATATAATACTAATATATCAATATTGTAGAAAAAATAGTAGTAGACACATTTAGACGACGAAATTGTGATAGAAAACACAACACGTCGAAACCCTATGAAAGCGTCCACTCATCGCTGACCAAAACTGTTGATACCATCCATCGCTGATATCATATAAATCTACTCAAACTACTGGAGTTTCGCCCTAGTGATATGAAAAACACCAGTGAAAATCATATTTCACGACTACTGCGTAGTGTGAATATCGCGTTTTTCACCGAGTTTTACACCTGTTCTCGTAAAACGGGCTGTGAAACTCCACTATCATAGGGAATTCCCTCACATTGTTAACAAACACAAGTAGTCAATGACACGTCGAAAACGTTTTTCATAACAAAGTTTACATATCATCGATCAGCTTAGTCTCAACCCAGTAAACCAACGTCAGGTTGCTCTGCATCTTGACGCGTTCCTGAGATTTGCATTGAAATTCAGATTTTCCCATTCAGTGGAGTTTCACCCTGGTGATGTGAAAAACACTGGTGAAAAACATATTTCACGACTATTGCAAGGCGCATATATCGCGTTTTTCACCGAGTTTCATGCCACTTCACGTTAAACGGGTGAAACTCCAGTGTGTTATAACGATGGAGTTTCACCCATTATATTAAAAACATATTCCACAATTACATGTCTTGGATTTACATGGAGTTTAACGCCACTTCACGTAAAACGTGTGAGACCAAATGAATACAAACAGGCGGAAATTGAATGAAAAAATTAAGAGAAGAATAAAACACTAAAAACACAATAGAAACTTAATAACAGAAAGAAATAAAAAAAATTTATATAAATTTACTAATAAACTTTTGATTATTCTTTTCAACCTTTTTTAATAAAATTTCATTTGTCATTGACAAAAATTTCGTAAAATAATAAATTTTCAGCCCCCTTACTCTGCGCAGTTTCGGCCACTCCTGAGTATCGTCCAACAATCGCCTGTTGCCTCACTCTAGTAGCCTCTGATACTTGATGCTTCGGTGGTGATCTCTCTCGGAAAGTAGCACTAGAATGGTAGTCTACACCTTCACCGTACCTATCAATGAGAAAATGCACATCGTGAAACACTTCGCTCCGCTGTGCTCGAGGCGAGACTGGATTTGAAACATTTTCCTCATGTGCTACTTACAGATGTTTCTCATCAAACGAAAATACCAGTCGAGCCGCCATAGCAATAACTTCTACAAGGAAAATGACGAAATTTTTTTCCAACTACGACGACTAAAATTTCCATGTCATGCAACAGACATATTTCCTTATATTCCTCAACAAGGAGAAATAGAACAATGAGAATTAGATGAGGACGATGATAAGGATGGGAGTTTATAATAGTTGATAATGAGGTCCTTTCATAAGAATATTTTATAATGAAGTTTCACCCTAGTGATGTGAAAAACATATTTCACGACTTTTGCAAGGCGCAAATATCGCGTTTTTCGCACAGTTTTACACCACTTCACATTAAACGGGTGAAACTCCAATATTTATTAATAATGTCCTTTCATAACGATAGTTAATAATAGATTTCCATAATCTTCATCAGCTATACTAATACACCTTCCCATCTACCTGCCACCTGTACGGTATCCACCACCATCACCATCATGATGATGATGATGACCTACTGCTCTCCCTTTCCCTTTACCCTTACCCTTTCCCTTCCCTTTACCCCTACAATAACAACAATATCACATACCACACCATGCTCAACACCACACACAATACCCTTCATAATCTTCCCTATCTCTACTCCGCGATCTACTCCTTCTTCGAACTACTGCTGAAGCACCTATAACATTGCTGTCTCCATTGCAGAGGGTTCGACGCCCGGTGCGGGCATTTTTCAGAATATTTTTTTATTTTTTTCAGAATATATGAAGTATATTCTTCTGAATGGTAAGTGTCTCGAGAGCTCAACTGTTGTAGTCGTTGAGAAAAAAACCAAATAGTGATACCGCTCGCTCCACAAATCAGGATGAAAGTATGCCAAAATCAATAATAACGACAACAATAAGGACAACAACAACAACAACAACAACAACAACAACATATACAACAACAACAACAACAACATATACAACAACATATACAACAACATATACAACAACAACATATACAACAACAACAACAACATATAACAACAACAACAACAACAACAACAACAACAACAACAACAACAACATATACAACAACAACATATACAACAACATATACAACAACAACAACATATACAACAACAACAACATATACAACAACAACAACAACATATACAACAACAACATATACAACAACAACATATACAACAACAACATATACAACAACAACAACAACAACAACAAC